TCTATTTATGTATCATTTTTTGTATCATGTCTCTAGGATCATAGATGTGACATTTATCTGTCATTTTTACATCATTTTTAACTTCTAATCTAAAATGATCATTTTGTTACAATTATATTTGTCACATTTTATGATCATAATTAAATCATATCATTTATGTGTATTAGATTCGTCATTTATGGGACATTATGACAAGCGTAAGTTGTAGTTTTTATGGAATTATGCGTATTTATCTTCTACCACTTTCCACAAACACTGTACAGAGTTGAGCCTAGAGACTAAAAGATAGTAAGCTTAATTTCTGATATCTTTTACTCCGAAGTCAACCCCCGAAAGCCCTTTCTTCCGGATGAAAATCCCTTTTTAAACTTTATTTTCCGCTTTTCACCATGAAGGGCGTGTTTTCCAAGGTGGGACTACAGTAAAAAAATGTCAAAAATATAAGTTTACTATCTATTAGTCTCTAGGCTCAACTCTCTACAGTGTTTGTGAAAAAAATTAGAGGCTAATTTTTTTTTTTCTAAGTGAAAATTCAAGTTCAAAGTAACAGAAGGAACAAAAACATGTATATTTGTATAGCCGTGTGATGTAATGGATAGCATCGTGGCTTCTGATCTACAGGTTCAGGGTTCGAATCTCTGCACGAGCTGTTTCGTATTTTTTCTTTGCATTTCTGATCGCATAAATGGTCTTATAATGAGCTAAAAATGATCTAAATAGATCATTTTTCGGCTCACATTTCGATGACCATAATAAGATGATATTTTTTAGGGCTGGGTCCTCAACCATTAGGTGTATGAAGCCTTTCAAAATCAAAAGTGAAAACTAATTTATATACTGGATAAAATCAATTTAGATTTTCTTTTTGTCTACACCGCTAAAAACTGCATCTACTGATATGCTCCTTTCAGTTCTCCTCTAAAATAATTTTTTCGAAAACTTGATCAGCGAAGTCCCGAGTTACGTGGACAAGCCGAATGGCGCTATGTTTCACGTGGATTCATCCGTTTTTACTTTTTTTTCTAAGGATACAATACATGTTTATTTAAACTTCAGTGCGACATCGCCGCACATCAATGAAAATCAGTATGGATCGATGCGCCTTACAACGGGAAGTCAGTTTTTACCAATGTCGCATGGATTTTTCTCGGCTACGAAATCACGTAAATATCTCGCGTTACATCAAGTTTTCTTGTTGCGTGTGTCAAACATTCACAAGAGGAGACTTGAACAAAAGAGAAAAATGTAAAGGAGTGGACACATTACAAGACCCGGGGTCTTCTATTCTGTCCGATCGTTCATAGTTTCTACGGGGGCCTTGTATTATGTCCTTCTAAAATTATCCGGTGTTCGGTATTTCTTTGAAGCAAGCCCATTGTCTCCAACATTTTTGTTAGTAATTATGTTTATTCTATTTTTTAAACACATAAAGGTGTTGACTAGCCTTTGTCTTAGTCAGCTGACAGCAGCTGTTAGGTGAACGGCAGAAAATAGAAGAAAATATTATTATTGCGCTTGACAAGCAAAGCTAAACATTACGAAAAAAACAAAAAAATTCAAAAAATCTTCAAAAATCCGACAGTTTTAAAGGAGGGTGGGGAATCTTCTATTCTGTTTTTTGCGTCTCTAGCACAAGGGGGGTCTTCTGTTGTAGGGGGGTCTTGTAATGTGTCCACCCCTTTAATAATTGTCTAATATCCTAGCTGCTTCTCGTATTCATATGAAATATAAAACGCAATTCCACAAAAGACAAGGCTGTTTCCAAAATGACAACATTTATTCAAAGCAGAATAAAATGATTCACTCCGTTTATTACTAGTCATCACCATCCGTTGAGGATGAGCTAATTTTTCGGATTGATTTCCTGTTTTCTGTAGCTAAACTAAAAAAGAAAGAAAAAGTGTGGTTGTACAATCGAAATATGGCTAGGACACTCACTTTTGCTTATTTTCAATAACCGAATAGTACTTGTCAAATGAGCTCAAGTCGTTCTAAAAAACGAAGAAACAAAACGGAACGGAAAGAAAAAAGCATGAAAGATCTCTCGGTTAGAAACCTATTTTCCACACAGAACATGTGATTCTGACTAAATTTTTTCCAAATGTTAGTCCTATCTAGATTAAGTCCGGGTACACAATTTAAGCTTCAAAACTTAAGGTTTCCTAGAGTTCGCTGAAAAGTAGGTAGTCGTAACTCGAAGATTTCTTCTCCATTTCTCCTGCATGAGATTTCAGAATGGCCTAGAAATGTAGCCAAGAGTCAGTTCGAGATTATAACAGAGTCCGATTTTTGACTTTTTTTCTTTATCTCTGATGAAAATAAGAAGTTTTCGCTAAGTTAACATAGTTTTCCTCATTTTTCGGAAACGTTTTATTTCCATCCGAGATAAAGAAAAAAAATCAGAAATCGGACTCTGTTATAATCTCGAACAGACTCTTGGCTACATTTCTAGACTAACTAAGAAATATTTGTGAAATGCAGAAGAAATCTTGCAATTACAAACACCTAAGAAGGCAAAAACTTATGTAGAGGGAAGGAAGAAGAAAAAAGGCAGAGTTTTCCGTGCTCTTAGAAAGATCCTTATAACTTGTGGTTGAAATATCGCACAGAGCTCAGCTATGTCTCATTTGGAAAACAAATGTTTGGTTAACATTGTCGAGTAATAAAACCATCGGATATGTGGAGAATTAGAGAGACTTTCCAAAACCTGGTCTCTTTTTAGAAGAATTTTGAAAAATTTCTTATAAACCATATGTATGTGATTTTTGAAGATGAATTTTGATGGTAGACACAAAGGGCTACCTAAATATATGGGTGACCACAGATCTGCTTTTTACCGCAGTTTATCAGAAGCTCTTCAGCCGAAATATCTGAAAAACCGAAAACGCTTTTAAGTATCTCAAAGATCCTAGTTCCGGGATATCTGCCACACGTTGGTTCTACAAGAGCATAAGATGAATGCGCTGATGCGTTGACCATCAGTGTTGCCACTACTGAAACTTTTCTTGACCCGTTCTTGCTCGTTATGTTAACGAAACACCACGTCACATTCTGTTAGAATCTTTGAAGCACACTATGGTAATATTTAGTATCAAAACTACAGATATATCACGAATACAGTTTAGAGTTCAAAACTCTTGTTATTATTATCTAGACAGCATGCGTGACTGCGGGAAGCAAAATAATATTTTTTTTCCCTTGAAATAGTGGAAAAAGTACGTACTTTAAGGGACATTGATAAATTATAGAAATTATCAATTATTTGAAATTCTTTACCGGATGTAAAGTTTATTATTAAATCTTTCATCCAACCAAATAACTGAGTAGGATGCACTATAATAAGCTGCGGCTCTAGTTCTCCTAAATGTATAAAAATACAGATATTGTTAAATATTTCTACTCTTTTCCCAGACATTCGAGCTGGGCCCTTTAATGTAAGAGTCCTATGATTAAATCTATGATACGAAACGCAGTTTGCAAATTCTAGTTGTAAGTTTCAGTTTTTTTCTTACTGGGTGTAAAATCGTGTGAAAAAACGAACAAACTCTTAACCACTCAAATTTACTCAAACGATGATTAGACGAACGTATGATGGAACTGGTCGTGATCCCACTCCGTCAAGATATCACTAATTGTGTGAAGAGGAACATGGTGAGATGTAGTGAGAGTGTCGCATTTTTCAGCATTTGTACACATTCTTGAATGAAAGAACGAAAAAAATATTTCTATTCAGAAGTCGAGTACTCGCGAAAAACATTTCGAGTGGAGTGAGGATATGAAAATCGTACCGTTGCACATCTCTACCCTCTACCCCCACAAAATGACGAGCTTAATTTTTTCAGGTCTTAAAAAGTCAAAGAACAAAAGCGAAACAACTGTTTTCTTAGTTGAAAAGTTGGCAGTCTTGAAGTTTCTCAGGAGTTCCCATGCAGCCTTTCACTGTTCTATTTTGGAATAAAACATTCAGAACATATTTTGTAGAAAATTTGACAGCGCATCTTTTCTAAGAAAGCCTATGTCTAATCTTTGAAAAGGAAAAAAGTTATAGTCAAAATACAGAGAGGCTCATTTATTCTGGGACACCCGTTAGTTATCAGAAAATGACATGACTTTAAGGGATGTCTTCAAAATTGCCCTCGCCTTTATCGTTGTTGGTTCAGTCTTTTACCCGTTGTAGTCCTGAGTGTATGGAACATTTTTTGTTGCAAGAGTATATGATAATTTTGACTTTCCGGTAGCATTCAGATCGTTTTTTCTAAAAGCCCTGTTGAAATGTCATGTATTTCAATAGAAGTGTTGAAATAAGGAAGAAGATATAATTTCGACACACATATAAGTATATTCTTCACTGAAGGAGAGCATGAAACATGTGCTCGTTTCAAAAGAAAATATATGGTTCGATTCACCGTGGTCTTCTGAGTATTCCTATATGAAATCGAGAAGGTTCTGATCAAAAGCATATATACTTTTCTTTTACGGTTTATTCTACTCTGACACTATTTAGACTTTCTTATAAGAGAGATTTTTCTGTTTAAAGAATAAGAAAAGAACAAATTTTTATGTTTTTATCAAATGTTCACCTTTTATATATTCAAGGTGGAAGGTGCTCAGTATAAATGCATTTCGTATTGTACCAACTTCGCGAACTAAAATCACATTAATTAGAGAAGAGCCATTTCCATTTTTTATACTAGATTAAAATATACGAGTTGTACACGATACTGATCTATTTTTTAGTCTTTGAGAAATATGGTTGTGAATATCGTTGATTATTGTTTAAGAAGCAAGTTTTCAAGACAAACAAAAGAAGTTTCTGCAAATCTGGGAAGGAAAAACTTCCTTTTTCAAACAATAATCAACGATACAGCCATATTTCTCAAAGACTAAAAGGGGTCCTTTTCTAAAAATAGATCAGTATCGTGTACAACTCATTTCATACAGGAATACTCAGAAGACTACGGTGAATCGAACCATGTATTTTCTTTTGAAACGAGCAGTCAACTGGCCTGAATATCACCTACGTCGCTATATAAAAAGTTTGACTCTATCTTAATAATCAAGTTAGAAAAAAACGAAATACGAAACCTAAAAACTTAGCATGAGACTCTATATCTCCTATACCAACGCATCGTACCGTTCTTTTCCGTTCTCTTCTTTTATTTAGGAAAAAAATCTCTTGTTCACTCTCTATCGTTTCTCACTTTTCTTTTTTCATTTCTGTGAATATATGTATCGAAATATAGAATAAGCGCTTGAAGTGATTCAAGCCGTAACAATTTTGAAGGCATTCCTAGCTAAGAAAGACTGTTCTCCGATAAACATTACCATATTTATAGATATTTGTTAGAATATAATCAAGATTCTTCTTCGATTCAGTTGGTAATACGTCATCACTAATATCAACAGAATGCAAAACAACATATTTGACATTATTTAATACAATCAAAGAATTGGTAATTAATTGTTTTAAACATTGAAGATTGCTAATAAAAATATCACAACTTATTGTTCTTGTTGATGCTTGTCTGGTAACAATAACATCACCATGATCCATAGCAATAACATTTAAATCTGTTCCAACTGTCTGAAAATCTTTATTAACGTCTTCAATAGTCCTCGTCTCAAAAGTGAGAACTATTGCAGACGGATGATGCTGATCATTATCGGATTGATTATTATTCATCATCAAATGTTCAACTATTGGCAATGTAAATACCAAAATTCTGTCGAATTCAATGCCTATATATATATATAAAATGACGAACGATATTTATACTCACTTAACATATAAAATATTTTTATCAATCCGTGTTTTCTTTCGAGATACGGAACTCAAGCTGATACAAGTATGTTTTCTATTCGAGATCCAAGTTCTTTCATCTCTAGTAGCTCGAAGTATTTGTTTCAAAGCTGTGTATCTGACTTTCTATCGTGCATCATCTATGCAGCAGTTTAGAAACGATTTAATTTTGCATGATCTCTCGCCCACATATACATGGATATCCTTACGGATGCATCAAACCCACACCTCAAACTTTCGCTACAGCTGAAATTAATCTAAAAGTTTGGGGAGTTTGAGTTTGAGTTTGGTTATGCACGGGGTCTGGTGCAACCCTAGATATCCCTAGTTCATCGCATCTCTCACAATTTTCTATAGAACTAATTCAATACACAACAAAGCATTCGAATGAAATGATTATAGAATGAGAGTATAATGGTCTGGCAGCATAGGACAAACCAAGAGCAAAACATGTTATTTTGCGGACAAGATGTATCATATCTATGCATGAAGAAAGCTTAATCCTCATAAAAAATAAAGGAGTGAACAATTAACAAACTGTGTGAAGAAGCTGAAGCTGAATATTGAACAAATCGATTGGTGGCATATCCTTTTAGGAAAGTAGAATAAATTAGTTAATAAAGGAAAAATTTCTTGCCGTACTGCAAGAAAACAAGGTCCCATATTTTATTGTCGCAAGAAAATGTTTCTTTCGAGAATAAAAAATTTTAGCTATATTTCTTGATAATAGACATCTCGCGTATACCTTATCTTTCCTCCCATATGCAAATATGCAGAATGAATGTCTTTGTATGCGATATGATAAACGCTAGATGCCTAATAAAATAAAGACTTCGACGTACTAGCTTGTATTATACAATTTTTTTGTCTTTCAAATATCATTTGGTAGCATCGAGCTTGATCGGGACTTAAGTTTCTGTAGCCACATGCTAAAGGAAAAAAGAATGGACAATTTTAATATGCTGATATTGACGATATAAGGCACCCTAAATTTCTCTTTTCTGTTTGACAGAATTGGAATATCAGATGAGATGACCACTATATTTTATTTACTTTACCTTGTAATTTTTTAACGGTTTTCGTCGATATATTAAAATTTGTAAATGAGAGACTTTCATAGAATAAAGAAGGCTGGTTACGCGCTTGTTGTCTGGTCATCATACGAGATGTCGATCGTTTAAACGGCAAAAAAGAATGCTCGTATTCTGAATAATCGTTTTCACTCATGATAACTAGATATTTAATCTATAAAAGCAAAATATGCGTGAAATAATAAAACTCGATCGACGGACAGTAAAGTACGTGTCAGCATTGCGTTCACTTGGTAAAGTCTGTAAAGTCCCACCTAATACTTTTCTGAAAGTAAGACCAGTTTCTTCAAGTTAAGCGCTCCATCTCGATCAGAAATTTATCTCAGCCCAGGTAGGTTCATTCTGAACCAAACTTTCAGGGAATGTTGACCATATAAGAGTGCCCCAAGGATCTTTTTTTCGTATTTATTGCATTATAATGAGTTAGGCATATCGTAATGCCATGTAATGTGTTAGCTTTTCTATTGTGTTATAATGCGATAAATTTAGAAAAAACATGTCTTTAATGCATTAGCGTAACACGTTAAGTGCCAAAAAATCGTTAATAGTTACAAGGCGTTACTATTCCTATCGCATTATAACGTACTAATCTGTAACGCATTGCAACGCGTTATGCATGTTCTGCCTCGTTGTAAGGTTATAGAAGTTCTTCACACGTTCCAACGACATACATTTATTGTATTACATGCGTTACAAGCTATTATAGTATTGTAATGCTGTACATTTATGTCATCGAAATGTGTTAGAAACTTCTAGAGCCTTACAATGGGTTAGAACGTCTATAAACGATTGCAACGCATTCCAGGTTAATGTATTATACCGCTATAGCATCTAACACATTATAAGTTTTATGGCATTATAATGCATTAACTGTTTAGGCGTTTTAACGCTATACGTGGGACTTGATGTCCTAAGTCTCGAGACTTAGGACACGTTACTGACTTGATCAAGTCACTAACGTATATGTATGATATAGTGAAGCAATCTTTTCCAGACCAACTTTTTGAGAGGAATCGATTGGCAGTCTCAGAATTCGGGAAATGTTGACCATGTAAGAGTGTGATAATGAAATTTTTGTTTTGGCTTCACTTGCAGCCGTTCGTGAGAGAGCGCCACATCAAGTGCTTAAAATAGGCGTCCTCCACGTGCAAGAATTATCATTCTAGGTAAATGATAGAGAGCTTGGTTTCTTTTATTTCGCAGTAAACACCTATGGCTAAGAGTTGACAGAGTCCGATTTCTGAACTTCTCATTTACTGATTTCCGATGCTTAATAGAACTTCAAAATCCGAAAATTCTTAGAAGGTTTCTTAGCAATCCTCATTTCTATAAAAAATGAAGCACAATCTAAAAATCAGACTTTATCAAGTCCTGGCTATAGGTGTTATCTACAGATCAAAAAAAATTTCTTTCTCCGACGTATCGTTACAGAGAAACCCTGCACGCGGCGAAGCTCTAAAGCTAAAAAACAGTCTTGAGAAAAATGTAAAAGAAATTTTTGATTCTGTTAAAAAAAAAATCGCTTTTTTTCTGGCAGGGATTCTGGAAAACTCGTTCAGAAATCCATATAAAATCTATCCTAAAGATCCAAAAATTATGCCATCAGAAAGCAGACACTTTAATCTGTCCAGCCATGTACTCTTCTCAAAATCCATATTTCTGTCAAAAACTGGCATTTCTGATTCTGGTGGAGGGCGTAAGAAAGATCTTTCATGTTTATCGTGCTTTCTAGAAATGGGAGATAGGCGAGTACAAATATTTACTCGTACTCGAATACACTCGAGCACAAATTTTTAGATACTCGTACTTGCGAACTTTTTAATATTTACTCGAAAAAGTGCTCAACTACTTGGGTGAAACCTGTTTAGCTTAAAAAAAAGGAATTCAGAAGAGACTGATCGATATACTATCATCACACCAAACGTCATCCGATGACAATCCTGTTTTTTTTAAAAAAATTTATACTCGAGTAAAACTATTTTGTCCTCGTAGTCATACTCTTACCCTTCACTAAATACTCGTACTCGTACTCATATTCGAAGAAGTGTGTGCTCGCTCATCTCTGCTAGAAACAGTATTCACATCTCATTATGCTTCCTGAACCGTTTCTGTTCGAAACCTGGGCTCTCTTGAGAAATGGTATGAAATTCTGCCGTGGCATAAAAATAAACTACTCTCTTCATACAACATGCGTCACAAGATGGAACCTCGAATCCGCCGACTTTGTTTTTCTTCAAATTATTTGTTTCCTATGCAGTGTAAGTAGTTCACTATAAAAGAGAGGGAAAGAGGAAACACACGTCTGTTCGGATGAGACAAAAAGGAATAAGTCTATCTTTTTCTTAATTTCGAATTTCACTCATTAATTCATCATCTTTTTATTGCCCTGTTAGTAGTTGTTGTTCATCCATGACATTTTCGCACCCTCACCCTAAAATACAGAAAATATGCCACGTTTTTCTCAATCAGAAGTATTGTGCTTAATAACTTTGTACTGGTCGTGACTGTAACTGGTGTTATGAATGTTGAGGATACTAATAGTGAGACATTGATTATTTGTTTGTATGCTGACAACCTGATGAAAAGTAAAAGTAAGCATCAGGAGAAAAAAGCAAATAACATACGTTGATAATTGTCATCACTTTGTTGATGTGTTTCAGTTCAACAATTAAATCGTGTAACTGAGTCCCATGTCAATTTACCGTAGTAATAATATTGTTTTAGCGTTTTCTAGCGACGAATTGTACCCGCTGAAGCAACAATATTTTTCAATAAAAACGGCGTTTGTTGAAGACTCAGAACGATGTGTGCGTTTTGTTATTGAGGCTTTTATTTACGTTTGTTTCGTTTCGATTTAACTAAAAGGAGCAGAAACGTATGTCAATAAACTGTGTAGGACAGAAGGTAGATAAAGGAATTCACCGTCATGAAATGTCTTCTTCTTCAACACTATCATCACCATTCAGCCTTTGACAAGAGAATTGTCTGAGGAGTATTCTTTCCTTCATCAAGGTCATTCTGCCATGAACCCTTCTCTTCCATGTACGTTTGACACCTGTGCATTATTATGTGTTTTCTTAAGTGAAGGCAGAAATAAGCAAATAAAAGCTACAGTGGTGATGACTCATTTATTTATCTTCAGCTTTTAAGGGAGCATATAATAAAAAGAAAAATCGGTGTAAAAAGACTTTTAGGGGTTTAACCTTAGTGCAGTTTGACCAGACACAATTCTTGTGTATTATGTGAAAGCAACCGAAAATCGGAAGCCTTAATCAATTTCCTATCAAAAATTTGTCTGATATAATGACAATTATCTTTTCTTTCCGATTTAATCTTTTCTTTTAGATTAATTTTTTTGGCAGACGCGCCCATAGTGTTCTCCGTAATCTCCTCAGAGCTCACTCGTTGTTTCGACTAGCATGAGCTTTTGAATCGAGGGACGAACAGCTGAACGAACAAGTGAAGTTCTGGGCAGTGTCTCATACCAATTAATTGGATGAAGAGGGTCCGAGTAGATGACACTGCCATAAGAAAGCCATTAAAGTGCAAAACAATGAAAAAAAGCAAAAAGAGAGATTTCTCCTAGGCGGATTCGATCCTAGCATTTCCTTTCTATAGAAAAATCGTCCGATTAGTCACGACTAATTGCCAAAAGTTGCTAAGAAGTCGCCGACTAATTGCGACAAAGCAGTGCAACAATCGAACGCCAAGTTTTAAGCGATTAATGCCACATGGGTCATCTAAATTAGATTAGAGTACGCATTTAAGTTTAAAAACTCAAAGTTTCCCAGAGTTATCTCAAGAATAGTGCTCTGATTGCATCGAATTTGATTTGGAATATAAATTTCTGTTGAACCGGCATTACTGCCTAAAATAGTCAGATGAAAGTGCTTTTATCTGCTGTTGAAGCTATTTATCTTGATGACAATAGCTCAAATTCGTCAGCCATAAATCGACTTCCTTAATTAGTGAAAATTTTGAATGGGTTACCATTTCCTTGTAAATTTCTGCAGTATTTCTTCTGTATTTCTGCAGTATCTTGCAGTAATTTCTGCGAAATTGATTGTTAATTTTTACTGAAATACACTTTTGAAAGTATTTAGTTGAATTTTGCAACTAAATTAGAGCCGTCTTGAACCATTTAAATCAAACCTGATGTATTACTACCAAAAACAAGTGGTGTGTAACACAACAAACTTTGTGAAAAAAATTCAGCTACTCGTAAGATCGACGAGCTCACCGATCAAGTTGGTTGGTTTGAAGTTTTTATGTTTTAAACAGTGCATGTAACAGAAGTGTGATGTATAATAACCCCTTGAAATTAAGATTGCGAACAGGATTGATCCACAATTATTAAACCTAATCAAACACTAATTTCGTGTTGTATTTAGTATAAATTCATTCATATCGGTGTAAAATACATCATTAATAAGAATAGAAAAAAGAAGGGTTACTGCCTAAGTTATAATCGCTTAAAACTATTCGCAGTCACTCAGCCACGCTGTGTAGATAGTGTACAGAGCAGGCATGGCCGAGTCCGGGGAGGTACCGAGTCCGAGTCCTTAAAAGTTCAAGTCGAGTCCGAGTCCGGTAATATTTTAGATTCTTTTTGATGAAGGTGGTTTATATTTTAATTTGCTGAGCCGTGGATAGATATTTGATTTTTCGAAA